ACAACAAGTGCAAAGAATTGGACAAAGTGATAAGAAAGAGAAACATTTTGAAGGACTGGAGGGCCGCTGACAGTCTGAAACCAAAGAAAGGTATCGATTCGTCGGAATTGAAAAAGTTTTCAAAATTAAGAATTGAAATTGTTGAGTTCTATGACAATGTCGAGGACGTTACCAAGGAATATGTAAAAAAGTTTGACAAAAGTGATCTAAAAAACAAGAAATCTATAAATAAAAAACAAATTGATGAATTAGAGAAATTCATTAATTTTATCTATTATTTGGTTGCAAAAATGAGAAGGTTCGAGGATGCTTTATCGTCGTTCTATGTTACTTTTAAGTTTGGTGCATAACTTATACTTTAGGTAAGTTTTATTATTTTATAAGTTTTTTTATAATTATGTACAATTATTTTTCTTATATAAATATAAACAATTTTATTTTAAATTTAACACCATTTATTTATCCTAAAAAGAAAAACATTTTTGTTTGTTTTTCTTGGCCCTAATTTTACCAAAAGTCTAGTGTCTTTCTGTCAATTATTATAATAATACTGATTAATGATTTCTTGTTTCTTCTGGATATAAATTTGCATTAAAATATAGTGAAGAAATTGAATAATAACAATCTTCATTTACCAAAATGCAGAAACTATGATTAACTAGACGGGAATTCAATGAATGTATTTACCATAATTTACTGCTTCAGAAAATTTAATTAATTATTTCATTCTAAATTGATGTAAAATAATGTCTGTTTGTTACATATGTAGAATTTGTTGCCTACACAAGAAGATTTATAAAAGTATATAAAAAATATTTGTATGTTGTAGTATTTAAAATATTGTTTAAATGTAGATTATTATATAAATGATGAGTTAATTTTTAATTTATCTACATTTATTATCAAAACAAAAGATAACAGGTGAAAATTATAAATTTTGTTCAATAAGATGAGATTAAATTATTATAGATTATATATACATTACTTATTCAATATGAAAATACAATTGTAATGATTTTAGTTTTAAAAAAGAATTTACGTTGATTTCATTCATAAATGTATCCAAACTTTTACAAGTGTAGGTGCACCGCGGTTTATTGTCTCGTAGAGAGTGAAAGTACTTTTACTCTCCACTTCGAAATCAGTTGGAATATGACCAAAATAATTCTTTATCGGCTCGAAACTAGTCCAATTCTATTTTTGTGTTTTCTTATAAGAGTTGTATAAAGATGTATCCAAAAAGAAATTTCATTCAAACGTTTCAAGATTTAAAATATCTTTGAAGTAAAAATTGTAATTAATTAAAAAAAAACTCGAATTAATAATTAATATAATTTTATAATAATGTTTTGTAAATAAATAAATTTTTTTTTGTTTTATTCATATGAAAATACACTGTAAAAAGTACATGTAAATTAATCTGTCGTAAAAGTTGTATAATTAATTTGAATCTAATTTTCTATATTAAAATAACATAATATGTTTATTATATAACAGCGTTTTTCAACCTCTTGGTCGAGTTTAATAGGTTATAAATGACAGTTGTTACCATGTGTCAAAGCGAAGAACAGTTGAAAAAATGTCATCATTGGGCTGCAGTTCAACTACAAACTGATGTGTTAGATCTCGCGACAAACAGGTTGGGAAACATTGTTATAGAATCATTTAGTTTTTTTTTTAATATTGACAATGTTTTATGAATAAATTATAATGTTTTAACTTAGTTACAACTTTGACACTTTAGATGTCGTAAGCTCTACAAAACCGGTGGCAATCGCAAGCCCGACAACCGAAATACCGTCAATCAAATTCCCGACGTTCGAAATCCAGACTGTATCTGAAATAATTTAAAAATGTTCAATATAGTCAGGATTTTGATACAGTCGAGATTATGTTTGTCGGGATTATGGTTGTCGAGATTTCGATACAGTCGGTATTTCGAACGTTCTTTCGGTTGTCGGGCTTGCAATATAGACCTCCACAAAACAATACGTAATATCAGATCACATGCAAATTATGTTGCCTATACCAAATTTTCTTAAACGCATTTTTTGGAATCTAGTCTCACTCAAATTAGTGACTGTATTTTACATGTAAACAACATTTCACTGACAACACTACTATTACACAAGTCAAACTTTTATCTTTAGAATTATTTGCATTTAAATTAAAATTTTCATTTATTCTTTAATTTTTTTGATTATCTATTATTTTATATTTTTTATTATTGTTGCAATAAATGTTATTATTAATAATCTTTTGAATTTTGAAAGACTTTTTTCTAATTACAACGATTAGTTCAAAATACGTTTGTTTTCTGTTGTCCAAAATTGACGATAATTATTTCAAGACGATAATTATAATAATTAACTTAACATTTCTGTTTCCGTTAGCAATTATATCTTTTCGTGAATTATGTTTTCTTCTTTGTAAAACTTTCCATTATATTAAATGATTTTCAATGCCTTTGTGAAATATTTTATTGATTAGTAAATGTACACAATATTTGTTTTATAAACGTTCTAAGAATAAAAGATTATAAATATTACTATAATCTTCATAATTGTACGTATATATAAATAAGATTGTACATTATCAATGCTTCATACGCGTAGTATATGCAATATACACTTTATTTGCGCTTTTTTATGTAGTATTTAATTTAATTCAAGGCAACAAAGAAAGAACGTGAAATTGACGTTTCTCAATACAAAATCCTTGCTGGATCAATGCATATCTCATGACGCTTAAAAAGCCAATGTAGTTTTTATACTGATTCATGTAAAAGTCACATGTTGTTAGTTTTATAAAAAAAAATGTAATTTACTTCATTAAATAATTTGATTATTTCTTAATTTTGACTATAATGGACTATAAAAATATAAGCATTTCTTGATTTTCATATCAATTAGGTTTTAATGAATAATTTTGTTTAAATTATATAACAATTTTAATTAGTTTGTATTTTTGTATTATATTAATTAATAAAATCTCATGAGAATAAAATAATAGGATTAAAATACTTTAAATTGTTGTTTATATATTGTTTGCACTTTTTGAAAGTTTTGGTATTATTTGCATCCAATTTAAATACGTTTTAATCCGCAAACTTTGAACTCTTACGTCTGTATTTTAATTTTGCTTCCGATTTGTATAGCCTTAACATTTGAATAAATCCGCAAGTTTTATTAATTTTCTTATTTAAATTCAACCAATTTTAGAACTTTGTAGTTAAATTCAAAGAAAATTAAGGTTTTACAATATTTATTGTCTTTAAATGTTGATAATAATGCAAATATCATTAATTATAAAGTTTTGTTTATTTTAAGTAGATAATACTTAATTAATTAATTAATATATATTTTCAATTGATCTAACTGTAATAATTAGAACAAATTTTCAATTGAACCGAAATGAATAGAAAATATTTCATTTAAGAAAATTATAATTTTAGAAACTAATTTCAAATTATTTCCAATTAACTTTGTTATTGAATGTGCATTTCGTGCAAGTACGATAAAATGTTTAAGAGATGAATCATTGATCTAAATGTAAAAATGAGAAACTAAACTCAATGGAAATGACTGATCTATATCATTTATATATAATCATAGAAGACTGAGAACGAATAAATATGTTGTGTTTTTTTTATAATTAAACAAATTGATAACTTGAAGTCAATTTATTTCATGTAAGAAAGATATTCTTATTATGCAATGAAATTTCTTATTGAAAATACAGAAAAATAACATTTTTAAGAATCATCTAACTATTAATAAAAAATGAAAAGTCAAATAATATGTTTATAATGAAATAAATATTTTTAATGGAAAATTTAATAAAGAAAAACTATAGATAATTAAAACAAAATGATTATAATTCAGTAAAACCTCAAATACTGCTGATTTGATTCAGTCCGCACTATGCGAGGTATTTCTGTATAATGTGTTCTAATAATAAAGATATAATTGTAAGTTGTTTTCTAATTAAATAAAAATGAAATGAAACAAAATGAATGCAAAATGTATACATTTTTATTTACGTTTATAAAATATCAAGTCAAATATCATCGATTAGTCCGGTTTTGAATTGTCCCGGATTTTGACGCTACCGATTACTCGCAATGTACGAGGTAATGTTTTATAATGTATTCAAATAATAAAGATATTGTAAAACGTTTTCTAATTAAATGAAAGCAAAATCAATTGAAACAAAATGAATGCAAAGTGTTTACAATTACAAAAGTAAAGTATCTTTTTTTGCTGTTTATTTTTGAATATATTTAGTTTCTCGATTAGTCCGGTTTCGAACAGTCCGGATTTTTGGCGAAAATGATTACCCGCACTATGTGAGGTATTGCTGCACATTGTTATAAAATAATAAATATATTGTAAAACGTTTTCTAACTAAATGAAAACAAAATCAATTGAAACGAAACGAATGCAAAGTGTTTACAATTACAAAAGTAAAGTATCCTTTTTTGTTGTTTATTTTTTAATATATTCAGTTTCGCGATTAGTCCGGTTTTGAACAGTCCGGGCTTTTGGCGAAACTGATTACCCGCACTATGTGAGGTATTGCTGCATATTGTTATCAAATAATAAATATTTTGTAAAACGTTTTCTAATTTAATGAAAAACAAATCAATTGAAACAAAATAAATGCAAAATATCCTTTTTGCAGTTTGATTTTGAATATATTTAGTTCCTCGATTAGTCCGGTTTTGAACAGTTCGGGATTTTGGCGAAACTGGTTACCCATACTATGCTACCTAATGTTATATAATAAAGATATATTGTAAGTATAAGACGTTTTCTAATTAAAGCGTGTTTACATTTTTTTTTTTGACAAAACATAGTAATATAATTGTTATTGAGCAATCTGTGTGTGTGGAAGCATCGTTAATAATAAACAAGTGATAAGCGCGTTAAAGTTGGATGCTTTATCGCTGCACTGTCCAAGGATGTGAATCGAAATGTTATATAAAAGGCCAAAGCAGCAACGGCTTCGGCTCATTTTGACCCAAATATTGGGAGACGAAATATTAGTGAGAGAGATAAAGCAATCATATCCTAACAAACAAACAATCCGACCTCAGCGTCCACCGCGAAGAAATGCACTAGCAGTATTGAACCGGACCGTTGCGTAACGATCACGTCCGCCAGTTCGCCAACGAACTCGATGAAGTTATAAAAATTTTCCGAAGTGATACGTGAAAACAACAAGCGCGAACGACAGGAGAAGAAAAAAAAAACAACACGAAGAAGCATTCTGGATTCTACAGGTTAAAGCCAGAATATAAACGGATTAAAAATTCATTTGAGCGCAGCAACTCCTCAGCTCAGTTCGTGTGCAACTTTCCTGCAGTGTTTACTGGTGAGTTACCAAGAAGTATTATTTGTTACAAAAAACATACATACAAACAGAAAAAAACACAGCTATTAAACGAATTTGTTTGAATTTGAATTATGCCGAGCATAGATAAGGGCGACGAAGGTCGAAGCAATTGTTGCTGTCAACATCGCATCGAGGCAAGAAGTTCATTTCGTGCAATGGTGTTCTCCAAGGTTCTCATCTTCATCTTAGCCCTGTGCTTCTCCACCGGTAAGTCAATCCCTTCACGTGAATCTTTTCAGTTCATTCACCTCAAATTCAATTTCAGTAGTGTTATCTAAGCCCTATCAATGCGTTCGAAAACTATACATGAAAAACCAGTTTTTTTTCTTAAATTCGTTTTCGATTTTTGAACTCATCTCATTATGAAAATCTGAATGAATCTATTTAAGCAAACCGGTTACAGTTTTGTAACAGTGTACATCGCGATCTAAATGATCTTCATTTAAATTAATCACAAGACGCGTTTGAAGAACAAAAAATATGTGTATGTTTACGTCGAGTTCCGATTTGATAAGTTTTATTTACCGTGGATCGAGTTAACCTTGACATCGAGCATCTCCAGAACAAATAAAATAAATAAAAACAATATTTTAAAACAATCACATTTCCTTTTGGATTAACCATATTTGCATCATTTCTAAGTGATTAATCATTTGTTTACAATAGTTAATAGAATGGGTTAGTCAGTAGAAAAAAATCCAGATTTTAAAAACGTACAATTCCTTCTTAATTAATTGTATTTACATCATTATTAAGTGATTAATCATTTGTTTACAATAGTTAAGCAAAGAATGGGTTAATTAGTTTAGTAGTATTTATTAATTATAACGAAAACTTTATAGATTATACCGGTAATCAGGTTTTAAATAATGTTACATAATTTAAAAATAACTTAATTAAATAGAAAAAATCCAGATTTTAAAAACGTACATTTCCTTCTTAATTAACTGTATTCACATCATTATTAAGTGATTAATCATATGTTTACAATAGTTAAGCAACGAATGGGTTAATTAGTTTCCTAGTATTCATTAATTATAACAAAAACTTTAAAGTTTATATCGGAAATCAGGTTTTAAATAATGTTACATATTTTTAAAAATAAATGAAATAAATAAAAAAAAAACAGATTTTAAACACGTACATTTCCTTCTTAGTTAATTGTATTTACATCATTATTAAGTGATTAATCATTTTTTTACAATAGTTAAGCAATGTATGGGTTAATTAGTTTATAGTTTATACCGGAAATCAGGTTTTAAATAATGTTACATAATATATGAAATAAATAGAAAAAATCCAGATTTTAAACACGTAAATTTCCTTCTTAATTAACTGTATTTACATCATTATTAAGTGATTAATCATTTGACATTGTTATAAAATAATAAATATATTGTAAAACGTTTTCTAACTAAATGAAAACAAAATCAATTGAAACGAAATGAATGCAAAGTGTTTATAATTACAAAAGTCGAGTATCCTTTTTTGCGGTTTATTTTTGAATATATTTAATTTCTCGATTAGTCTGGTTTCGAACAGTCCGGGATTTTGGCGGAACTGATTATGCGCACTATGCAAGGTATTGCTGCATATTATTATCAAATAATAAATATATTGTAAAACGTTTTCTAATTAAATGAAAAACAAATCAATTGAAACGAAATAAATGCAAAATATCCTTTTTGTGGTTTGATTTTGAATATATTTAGTTCCTCGATTAGTCCGGTTATGAACAGTCCGGGATTTTCGCGGATCTGGTTACCCGTACTATGCTAGTAAATTCAATTTCTGTAGTGTTATCTAAGCCCTATCCATGCGTTCGAAAAATGATACATGAAGAACCAGTTTTTTTTTTCTTAAATTCGTTTTCGATTTTCGAACTCGTCTCATTATGAAATCTGAATGAATATATTTAAGCAAACCGGTTGCAGTTTTGTAATAGTTTCCATCGTGATCTAAACGACGTCATTTGAATGAATCACAAGATGCGTCTCAAGAACAAAAATTATGTGTATGTTTACGTCGACTTTCGCTTTGATGAGTCATCCTTGTCATCGAGAATCTCCAGAACAAATAAAATAAATAAAAACAAGATTTTAAAACACGTACAATTCCTTCTTAATTATCTGTATTTACATCATTATTATGTGATTAATCATTTGTTTACAATAGTTAAGCAACGAATGGGTTAATTATTTTCCTAGTATTTATTAATTATAACGAAAACTTTATAGTTTATACCGGTAATCAGGTTTTAAATAATGTTACATATTTTAAAAATGAATGAAATAAATAGAAAAAATCAGATTTTAACAAGTACAATTAACCGAATTTACATCATTAGAACGTATTCAGTTATTTGTTTACAATAGTTAAGCAACGAATTGGATAAATAGTTTCCAAGTATTGCATAATTACAACGAAAACAATTTATTTTATACTGGTAATCACGTTTTACATAATGTTATATAAATTTAAAAAAAAAACATATTTATTTACATTTCAGTAACTAATGTATATAAAAAATGATAAGAGCAATAATAAAATTCCAGATTTAAACATTTTCTTAACATATTTACATCAAAATACATTGACAAAAATTTATTAATAATTTGTTTACAAAAGTTTAGCAACGGATGGGTGAGAACCATTTGACAAGTTGTTAATTAAGTAAAGAATTGCTTTACCTTAGCAATTTGTTCTTTTTTATATTAAATCTAATAAGTATATTCCATTGCTTTTTATTCTAAAAAGAAATACATTATTTTAATAAAGTATTTTTTATATTATATAAACAAAAGTGTAAATATAAAAAAATATAGAATATATGATTAGAAAATCTTTTAAGATCGTATATTTATAAAATTTAAACAAATAACACAATTTTTATTTATTAATTATTTCTTTACAATAGTTAAGCAATGGATGTGGAAGAATCATTTTCAATGGTAATGATGAGATAATGATTTACTTAAAAAGTTAAGCAGCGGATGGGTGACTACACTTTGCACAAGTCGTGATTAAAAATAATATTACTAAATATATTATATAGAGAAACAATGATATAAATATAAAAATATATAAAAAATTCTTCGAAATAAATTAATAAAATACTTTTTGTTGTATAAAAATGGAAGTGAGAAATCCTTTAAAGATGTTTGAGGATCAACACATCAAGATTTTTCCAATTGCCAAAGGTCCTTGATCCTAACACAACGATATGTAGGTTAACAAACATAACATCCCCAAAATCTATCTAGCACTGAAATAATTCATTGGATTTAGCGAAAAAATCCTTCACACAGTTGTGATTAATATTTTTTTTTGGCAGTCAGGATTCTACGAAATAATCCAATTTTCTTTTGATTAATATTGATGAAATTCCTGTAATATTCAACACGAACGTATTAATTTGCAGTTCGTTTTCCGGGTTGGAACGTATATCAAGAGGGATTTTTTCCGCTACGCCGAATTTTCCGCATTTTTTCTCCGTTTTGGCATGAAAATGATAGAAAAAAAAGTATATACAAACATTATACCGCAGACAAAGTTGTTGTTTCAACGATAAATTACAGAAATGTTACAGCTTTCACTGATTTATTTTTCTGCATCTGTAGTAATTTTCTTCTTTTTTTTACTATCGAAAAATTTTTTTTTGGGTCAATGACATTTCTACAATCTCGTAATAATATTTTGGTTACATTACATTTACTAACTTAATATACAATTAGAGAAATTATGAGAAAATTAGTATAAGTATAAAAATTAAAGAAGTATAACAAATAGAATTTCTATTTTTATTAATCGAATGGAAAACTGTTTGAAAACGAAAAATCTCTGAAGAAAGTAGTAACATGTGAACTATTTTCCTTGGAAAATAAATTTTTGTGTGTGAAAATCCCTATTTAATAGTTATAGTTTTTCTTTATCAAAGAATTTTCCAAATTGTATGCATTTTGGAATCTAGGTCAATGAAATACTAACTTTATGCTCTAACTATTAAAATTAAAAAGGGAAATTTTTAGTTTATTTTTATAGAAAACATAATGAGAAAAAGAGTTATCATTTACGGGTCTACATCGCAAGCCCGACAACCGAAATCCCGACGTTCGAAATCCCGACATTCGAAATCCCGACTATATCAAAATCTCGACAACCATAATTTCGACTGTATCAGAATCTCGACAACCATAATTTCTACTATGACATTTTTTAATTATTTCAGATCATAGTCACCTTGTGCTACATTTTTATTATTAATAACAAAAAAATGTTATTAATTTATTTGATTTTGATGAATTATTCATAATAAACCTTAACATTATGGAATAATATAAAAATGTTATTGAAGACATTTTCGATACAGTCGGGATTTTAATGCAGTCGGAATTATAGTTGTCGGGATTTTAATATAGTCGGGATTATGGGATGATAAACGATATTTCGGTTGTCGGGATTTCGATACAGTCGGGATTTTAAACGTCGGGATTTCGAACGTCGGAAATTTGATTGACGGTATTTCGGTTGTCGGGATTGCGATTGCCACCGTAATTTACAATTTTAATACGATAAATAATTTATATAATATATACCAAATAAATAAATGAATATATAAGATTAACATATAGGAAATCAAAAAGCAATTGACCTTTGTCATTCGAGATAACAATTATTTACATTAAAAAATAAATAAATATCTAATTCCTCGGTTTTATTATAAACTCTATGGTCGTCTGATAATAATACTTTATATGATAACAACATCTAAAGCCTCAAAATGGAAAAAAAAATGCATTACAATTTTATGAATTTATACGAATTACACAATAGAAATATGCATGTAATTCACTTAATTCATATTCTAGTAAATTCTTAGAACGTGCTCCAATTCCTAATTGAAAATTTTCAAGAATTTATTAGAACATTTACATTTTGTGCTATTAATAACACTAGACATAATAATCAAAACGTATGCATTTATAGGTTAAAAAGACGATAAGTAAGAATTTCTGATAAGGTGAGGAATTTTTCTGACGGTTACTGTAAATAAATATTATTTTCAAATTTAATTCTCTATAGTATTTTCATAACAAATGTGTAGTTTTTTTTGGAAATGTTCATGTTTAAACAAAAGAATTAAAGTACGAAAAACATTGTTGATTCTGGAAACTGTTATAAATTTTATTTGTTTAAATTCTCTGGAAAATTAATGTTTAATTAAAGAAGTAAAATATTGAATAAAAAATCATTTTTTTTATTCAAAATTTATGGTATGAAAACCTTTTGTTAAAATATATGGAAAATATGTTGGATTTGTTTGGATATTTGGTAATACAGATATTCCGGATTTTTACTCGTATAGTGAAACATATTAAGAAATACACATAATATGTGTGCACAAATTTAAAAATGATGTAACAAGCGCGCAATCCGGGACTTCTCTTCTCATCGTCACTCGTTATGCGAAACGTGGCTCGTTTAGCGAGACATTTTTTGCTGTTTCCACTGTATTAATACAGTTTCAGAAAAGAAGTCAAGTGCATTAGCAGCACTAAATAATGTTAATATCAGACATTGAGCAAACATTAGATAAGCGAGAATTATGTTATAACATCGATCTATGCAAAGTATGTTGACTTATTTTATCTAAAAAATAATGAAAAATTTCTTAATAATAAAAAAACAATGCACATTATTTTCATGAAATATCCATGAAAATCCATCAATAATTATATCGAAATACTTGCATTCTGTTAAACTATCAACATCATATACTTCACATATCTCTTTGGCTCACAAATAAAAATAAAAAATCAAAATTTGTGGAAAATTGACACTAAACTAAGATCTGCACAGTTGGCTTTTAAAGGAAGTGATATTTTTCAAATGACAGAAGGATACAATCATAACATTGACAGAATTCTCTAAAAGCATATATAAACCTATCTATTTGTGAAAACCGAAATATCTCCCATTATTTCAATTATTTATAAAAAAATATCATTGAAAATGTTTTAATAATTATATACAAACAATATATGTATTTGGATTTAAATGAAGACAATTTCGATAATTTTTTCATCATTTTTTTCAAAAAATATATTTTTTATTTTATTGTTAAATTGAATTAATTCGTTATTTCAAAATGAAATTTATTTTTTTATTGCACAATTGTCACCTTATATATTATTTGAACTAATATTCCTATTGTTTATCACTATTGTCAATTTGAACTAATTTTATTATTTTGAACTAAAATTCATATAAATTTTGTTACAATTGTTTTTTTATCACAATGATAAATATTAATGAACATAATTGTTTAGAAAACAATAAAATAAAGTAAAAACAAAACAAAACAAAATAAGTGTATTGTATCACATAATACAAATAATTACCAAACCTGTTCATGTAAAAATAAATAAAATAAAGTGAAATCATAAGATTTTTTTTACAAAAAAAATATTTTCTTAGTTAATAAAATAAATCAATAAGAAATAATTGGATTCAATCACATGATGTGAGAGTAATAAGAACAGGTTAAAAATAAAACGCTTATTTAAATCATAAATAAACGGGTATTACGTAATTTTTCCATAAAACGTATGGATGTTGTTGTTCCTCATATACATAAGAATATTTCAACTGCAAAGGAAACGAGAAATATGGACAGATTAATAAATGGAAATCCAGTTTGAACCGGGCCCAACCGCTTACAAAACTCACTTCAATCAGAGATTAAAGCAGGATTACTTTCTAAGCAAACGTTACGACAAGGCTAAGAAATTCGATTTAGATGCAGAAAAAAAAAGCGCAATTGCATGCATATTAATTTCATCGTTCCAATTATCTTTATAATTATTTAAAAAAATTAACAAATTTCTTAATATTTATTTTAATAATTTTATTTTTTTTATAATTAATATCAAACATTTCTTTACTGATTTTTTTTTATTTAATTCCAGGAAGCGCCATAAAGTGTTTCCAGTGTTCATCTCGTGACGAAGGCTGTGATAACTTATTAAGTAACGACACACAGAGCGTGTATTTGAAGGAATGCGAAGGAAAGGACTTCTTCTGCAGGAAAACCGTCCAGACAAGTGAGAATCTATACAACTTTGATAAACGTTTCCATTTTTAAACCTTTCACTTCTTTCAGTTGTTGATAGCAACATGTTCACCATAATAAACAGGGAATGCGGATGGTCCTTAAACAGGAAACTGAGGACAAATTCGTGCTATCAAAACGATGATGAATTCAAGCACGAGAAGAGCTGCCAATGCTTCGAGGAAGGATGCAATCATTCCTCAATTCCAAATCCATCAACAACATTATTCACATCACTTCTCATACTATATTTATACCTAAATCACTAATTCTATTTGTCCATAATATTATTAATGTAATTTTCAATATTATTTGCAATATTATCATGATTACATCTGACGCAAAGGATAAAGGAAGGAATCAATAGAGCTCGTAATTTATTTGTTTGTTTCTTTGTTAGAGAGAGAGAGAGAGAGAGAAAGATTTTAATCTGAAAACACACAATTTATGGTTATATTTTTTTGCTGTCTCCTCGATGTCCTATTTTGTTGTTCCTTCCTTTAATATTATTGCTGTTCCGAACAACGTACAAGGATTTCGTATGCGTGGGCGGCGATTCTGTGCACATAGCAAATGAGAACAGTCTATAAAGTTGTTTTATGTCTTTCCTCCTGGTTATTGAGAAACTCGTTGCATGTTGGAACAGCAACAAAGTTCGGAAAGGCATATATTTTAGTATTACTTATTGTATAAAGTTTCAAATAAAACAAATACAATTAAATAGTTTTGGTTTTATATTCGATATATTTGATTTTTATATTCAAAGATTAATATATTTCTACCCCTAGACATTATTTAATGTTGTAACTAACAACTACATTCTTTGTTGCATATCTATTTGCATATTTTACTATCATTACGAAATAATCCACATTTAGTACTTAAAAGAAGTTGAATTTTACTCCAATCTTCACAAATCCAATGTTTGGATCCTCCCAATTCAATTGTTCTATAGTTTCTGACAAATTTTATTCATAAAAAGTTTTACTATGAACATTTTTACTATAATTTCATAACTTTCGATAAAAACTAATAAACGAATTATTTACGAGCATATTGTTAAATTTATTATTATTTTCTTTACCTAATTAAAAATTTCAATCTTCATTACAAATTAATTTTATGACTTAATAAAGCTAAAGTTCAAAAATAAACCTATTAGGTTATGTTGATTTTGTCCAAAAATAATCAATAAATCAGATAAAAAATTACAGAAATAGCTTAAAATATAAAAAGAAATCTATAAATATTACTTTTATGTATTATATAATTATTGATTAATTTTTTTTATTATTTTTATTCACAATTTCATAAATTAATTATTACTACACAAGTTTAAAAATATAAGTTTTTATCAATTTTTTCTTATCAATATTCTTATAGTGATTTCTTTTATGTCGTATAATTTTATTCACAATCTGTTCATCAATGTGTCGTGTCCCAGGGATAGTTTTCTGGATACTGTGGGATATCTTCTTCTGTTGTCTATTGTGGAGCCTTATTCTTGGTAAATAATGAATCCAACGAGTTTTAATTGTTGTTTATTATTAAAATATGCTTTAATGCAGTGGTTTCCAAACTTGATGTTACTACGCCTCCCTCAAAAGTATGTAATCATTTGGCGCCTCCCCACACCCCTCCATTTCATAAAAGGAACGCGTATTACAGCAATATGGATAAGAGCACAGGAATGTATCTATACTTACTGGATTCCCCAAACATTCAGCTTCCATATGCATATATTGGATTCATTCTATCTATTATAGTTATCGAGTAAATCAATGGAATGTGAAAACACTGCTTTTTCGAACGTTCTAATTTCAATTTTTCAATTTTGAACGCGTATTACAGCAATACGGATAAGAGCACAGCAATGTATCTATACTTGCTGCATTCCCCAAATATTCAGCTTCGATATGCATATATTGGATTCATTTTATCTATTATAGTTACTAGTACTGTCATTGTCCATCGACATGGCTGAAGGTCCACATACTGAACCTCATTCATTTCACTGTCCTTCTGTGATAAACGATGGCCCTATTGCTGCAAGCACCGCGAGGGCTCACAAAGGGCCTGTCTTGATCAGGATTCGAACCTGCGCCCACGAAATCGTGGGTAGGTCGACTTAATCATTCGGCTATTATTCGCCCGTATAGTGTAAATTACATCAGTTTTCGAACAGTATCAAAAATTATTCGAAAACCGAAAACAGTAATAAAAAACCGGTTTCTCAATGAACGTGATGAATGAAACATATTAAAAAAAAAACGTAAAAAATGTGTATAAAAAATTCCGTCTCGAGTCTAGACGATAAGAGAAGATAATTTATTTAAAAATTTATCAATAACAACAAAAATTCACACGTCTAGTATATTTATTTTTTAGTTTCATTGAATTCTTTACTTTTTAATTCATTTTTTACAAAAACAAGTAACTTGTTAAGTAACAATTATTATGCAAATTATTTGTACTTGTATAAATTAAATACGTATTAAATACAAGTAAATATACTTGAAACTTTACTTGACAAGTAAAAATATTTTATAATTTCATTATGTGAAAATTCAAATATTTATACTCAAATTTTGTATGTTCTTTTTTATAAATTGTTAACAAAAAATATATTATTTCCATGCTCAAATATTAATTAATTTAGCGTTTATAATTAGAACAACAGATGATTCATAGTGACGTAGTTGTAGCATTTGTATATAGGCAACATTCAACGTTTATATTTCATTTGTTGAAGCGTAGATAATTTGTTTTCAAAACCATATAAAGTGACTTTTAAAATAATCTCCTATATTTCATTGCAATTTTTCAATGCAATCTTTTAAATTTTCATTGTAGACATATATAACTTATTAATTTACTTTATATTGAAAAATACGCATTTTAACAATTTTATCAGATTCACTTCATAAACAAAATCAATTATTACATATTACATTATTTATTTCTAAACAGTAACTAGAAAACTATTATTATCCAATTATAATGAAAAAGCAACATTTGTTATATCCATTTTTTTACCATCTTATATGCGAACAAAATTTAAATCTAATGGCGGTAGACATTTTGCTTTTTAGTAAATTTCCCAATGGAAGTTTTTACCATTCTATTCTTCTGTAATTTATTGGTTGGCTACCGTCTTGTAGGTTAACTTCAGTATATTGATGCTCTGCGATTCCACTATTTGTCTATGAATCTGCTGCTATCCTTTACACTGTCATTGTCCATCGACTTGGCTTAACTTCATTCATTTGACTGTCCATCTGTGATGAATGATGGCCCTATTGTTGCAGGCACCGTGAGGACTCTCAAAGGGCTTAGCTTGATCAGGATTCGAACGGGCGCCCACGGAATCGTGGCTAGGGCGACTTAACCATTCGGCAATTAGTCGCCCTTTTATCAATATTTGAGTTCATTTTCATTCAAATCCAAATGCATTAATTATGTATTTATATAATTTCAAAATAATGTTAGATTTTCTTTATCTAAGTCAAGCATTGTGTGCTGATTATTATAAACGAACGCATTCGCAATTTTAGGAAAATAATGGAAAGTTCCTAGGTTATAACGCATTATAAAGAAAATTTTAATTTTCATAACTACATCAAATTAGTAATTATGTTTTTAGTAATTAGATTAAGCATATAATTTGGATAATTAAATCAAATATAATATATATAATATAATAAATATTATTATTTTTTTTTTTAAATTTAAATATTGCAAAAATAATATGAAATAAGTAATTCTCCGTATAATTTTCTTTGTAACAAGCAGTGGCGATGAAAAAAAAAGTGAGTATTAAAGTGGATTTTGTATTATACATTATATGTTAATATTTTTAATAAAAAATAAGTTTCTTAAATGTACTAAAAAAAATATTTATTTTTACTAAGTTTTTGGAACCTAACCCCTTTTTTATATTGGCTTTGGGTCTCATATAACACGATTTTATACAAAACGCCTTTTCATATGATAGATTGATAGTGTTATAGAGAAGTTACGTATAATTATTATACAGAATATATGCCTTATGTAATCTAAATCATTACAAAATAGTTTTTAATGGCCACAACGCCAAATATGTAGATTTAAAAAATTATAGAAGATAATCTTTTGGAAAATGTAATGAAACCTAATAATATAAATAAAAAAAATTGAAACTGTAAATATCTAAAACTTTACGTACTTTTAACGTTAATTTTGTTTGTTTAAAATTGTGATAAACAAGGGATTCATTTCAGAAATGATCTAATAAAACAAATATTGCACATCTAGTAATAAAATACATTTGCAATAACAACTTCAACGGTGTACTGTACCCAATTATAATTTAAAGTTGGGGAATTACAAATTTTATAATTTTTTGCTTACAATATAACATTTCCACCGCAGCAGCAAACAATCCACTCTCATCGCAGATATTTGCTGCATATGATAATAGCCTTCATATAATCACTACAATCATATCTTCTATTTGAACTACTATTTGATGCGCACTTGTCCCGATTGTATCACTGATATATTTAAGCATATTTACATTGCAACAATTTTATATTGTTATCATTGTTATCCGGCGTAATAATAAAGCTACGACCTAAATCTTAAGAAAAGTTCAATATATTATGAACAAACATGATCATTATGGAATTGCAAGAGTATTGCATGGGTGCATTACGTTCCGACAAGAATTTACTACGTTCGGATGTCCACGATATAGATTGTTGACAAAACATTGACATAGATTCGCACTGGAACGATTCCAAAGCGTTTTAAATGAAATTGCATGGAAAGCATTAATTTTCATAAAAATGTGACCATTCGAAGTGCATAAACAAAACGAGTAAATGCTAAAAAAAAAATAAAGGAAAGAACACACTAGTTTTAAAAATTTATTCTATCAATGCTTAAGAAAAGTATTATAATTATTATTAAGTACAACAGTATTGTTAGTATAAACGAAGCTTAACAAAAAAGTTAATTTAGATGCTAAAATAATTAGTTTTTTTTTTTTGGTATCAGTACATAGATATTATTACGTAAAGGAATGCTGCAAGTATACAAGATGGATTAATGTTATTTGCTGAACTTGGTTTTTTCGTTGTTGTTGTTGTTGTTGTTGTTGGTAGTTTCATTGTTACATTCTGTATTGGAAATTGTGTTGCTACATCCAATTCCGTTGTTTCTTCGTTGGTTTTAAAAGTAGTCATTGAAGTTTCAGTGGTTTCCGATGTTGTCAAATCAATCGCAGTAGGTGATTCTGTTGTTGGTAATGTGTATGCTGAATGTAAAGAATTAACAGATGAAACATTATGTAATCATCGCGTTTAAAAAGAAACTTACCCAAAGCACAGATCATGCTCAAATGTAGAAAGAGACGAAGATGCATTGTTTAAGTTACGATATAATAATTATAAAATGTTAAGAATCACCTTTCGTGCTTTAATGTTCACTAATGATTTACATATGAAAACAACCATTTGCTATTTATATGGTGATCCCCACTCAGATTGCGTTGAACATGTTTGCAAAAGAATCAAGTTCTTATATAATTAAATACTGTGTTTGAATATGGATCTAAAAACGGTTAAATTAAAATAATTAATCTAAAATGTTGTTTAACTATTATGTGTAAATTCTAAAAATTGACAGGTCAAAATCTGAGAGCTTTTGCAGAAAACGTCTTTGAAAATAAACATTCTACATGCTATAGACATAAAACTGGATGAAATTGAAATTTATATAATACAGGTTCTCAGCAGTCAAAAGCCACTGAGCCGCATATGGCTCTATGTTCCATAAAGGTTGCCGACCTCTGGATTAGTTTGTGTTGATGGATTATTTAGTAAGGTGGAATTGAAATATTGTTGATGTTTCAGGTACAAACAATAATTGTCACAATCAAGCTTTTTAATGGTGTTGTTTACATCGTTGTTTCCATTGATTGATCTCTTGAAATCTAATCCAATTGTGTTGTTGAACGACTCAATTCTGAAGTTTCAGTTGATTTTGGAAGTTATTTGTAATAACAAAATGTAGAAATAAATTACCAGAAATTGGTGATCATACACAAATATAGGAACAGTTGATGATGCATTGTTCAAATTGGAAGTACTTACAATGTAATAGTTATGAAAATTATAAGTGATCACATCTTTCTTTTCAGTGCGAACTTGTGTTGCATCCACCAGCATGTATTTATAATTGTCATAGTAATCTACGCTCAGAATGTTTGCATAAACTTAATTGTATCTTTGAATTTACAAAAAATCAACTATCTCAACATTTGTTTAATGAAGTAAATATTATAAGAATAATAGTCTTTACACATGCCTGAGCCAAGTTGCAAAAATGTAACTACAATTTAAAGTCCAATAGTAATAATTTAGTTTAAATTTTTACAATTATTTGTCAAAGTTGACAAATTTTTACCATACACAGACGCAGTAGTTTGTATAAAGTATAAATACACGTTAGTGAACAAAATAAAGTTTAGACAATTTTGTATTTTATGTGAATAAACCACTGAAGAAGACGTGATATTATTATGATTTTGAACAGTCTTAATAAATGAATTACCTTCGAAAACCAATAAAACTAATTTTTTCTCAAGGTGAACTTAGCGTTAATTGAGACCATTTTTTAAATCATTGTTTCTGAAATGAATTTGTTTTTTGCACACGTAACACATTTATTCATATTTAAAGTAAACGAAATACATTTACATTTGCGAAATTTATTCAGTTATAATTTGACTTGTATATAAATTTTGAACCTTTTTAAATGTTTAACTTTAGTAAAGTATTAATTTTAAATATATATTATAATGGGAAAAGATATGAACGACCACTAAAATACATTTATATTACATTAAATTTTCATTTATTTTAATTTAGAAAAATAAATACAATTATGATTAAGTTATTAATTAAATGATATTATATTGCATGATTTATCAATTTATAATATTTACATGGAAATAGTACGATTGTATAAATTTATCATTAAGTATACAAATGCAGCTAGCGAATAAGATACGATCATACCGTTTGCTGAATTAGAATTTTTCGTCGTGACTTCGGGTCCTGGTTGTACCGTTGGTTTAGTTTCTACCGATGGTTTTGTAGCCTCTGTTTCT